TACTAGTAGTGTTGGCGAGATGTATAATTCGAGAACAGCGAGCTCGCAAGCAAGCTAGAGTCCATGTACAGGCGTTAGCTATTCAGGACAGGGAATTTTGGGGAGTTGATGCGAACTCTGGTCGACGGATAAGGCGGGGAGAGGAAGACGAAGATGATGAAATAGAGGTGGAAACTGAGGCGGAGCGGCGGATAAGACGGCGACAGGAACGACGAGCTAGGGAACATGGGAAATTTGACTCCGTTTTGGAGAGGATGGAAAAGCTTGCCTTGCAGGAGGAAGGTTTGAAGGAGTCCACAAAAATGTCGGGTGGTAGGGCAACGGAACTGGTGTCAGAAAAAGAATCAAGTGAAGAGTCGAAAAGTTCAGGGTCGAGTAAAGAAAGTGACATTTCGAGGGCAGTGAAAGTGACAATACCGGAGCCAGTGTATCTTGGGGCTGGAGCAAGATTTTCATCTGGAGGACGCATGAGTTTATCAAATCTACGGAGTAGTATATCCTAATGAATGTTATGTGTTTGAACAAATTTTTTTTTTTTTTTTTTTTTTTTCTTTCCCACTTGTGATACCCATATGCATTTTTACATTTGTATTTCTATTCAGGGGCTTTAGGAGGCAGTTCGCACGTCATGAGTATTCTAGATTCCGGATATTGCAAAGAGCATCCGTTGATATATTAGATTGCCATTGGTCCGGTCCCGCTCTGATTATTGCCATAAGCGAGGAGGCCTGTAAAAAAAATAAAAATGAGATATGACCAAAATGCAATGCAAAGAAGGAGTTTCCCCTTGCTGCCAGTCAATAATTTTGTGAGTTCCAAATGCAGGTTGTGGATCTACCAGAAGCCTTCTCTCACGTGCTCGCCGGTATTGGTTCTCCCCATGGCAAATACGCAGATCCTAGCTTCCGGGCAGTCCGGAGCATCACGAAATATCTATCAAAATCAGCTCCCTTTTTACAGATATATTGGTTTGTGAAAAAGCCCGTTTTAGAGTAACCAAGTGACACTACCTTACAACCTCTATTAAGGAAGTGTAAATCACCACCCGTGTAATCTCGTAGTAACCATGTATAATATAGATGGGGAACTGTCAACTATTTCTGTCGCGGATGTTAACATCCAGATGCAACTTCCCGTACTGCATGTATTTGTCAAAGCGGTTTTGCGGCATTGCATTTCGCAAACTTAAGTATACGGATTCTAGATACTAGAACTATTATACCCCACATCTGAGGTGGTAATTCATTGAAATGGTAGGTTGTATTCCTTCTCAGCAAATTTATATTCTGGTGTTTCCAGCTTATGATGATTCAGTTTGTGATGTTCCTTCCGTCCCCTGTTTCGTACTCCAAGATGTTTCTTTATTTTCTGGCCCTTACAAGCATTCTTCTCTTTACCCAATCCCCGAGCGTGGGGAGAGCATCTACTATTCCGGGAGAGATTATCACCCAGGGGAACAATTACCCGGGATTCCGGAATATTAAATACTTTTTTTAGTTGTGGGCCTACCGTCAGCCCGTTGTAAATCCAATTTCTGACATGGCTTCAGCGGTGATTCGCATACCACCTGGAGATGGCAATGCCTCCCCGAAACCCAGGCTCCCAGACAAACCACTTGCCCTCGATTGGCCTGGATTGGGCTCATCAAATGGGCCAAATTGGGCCGCATACTTTAGTCTGCACTTCAATTATTCCCAGGTGTACGCCTTTAACATGGCATTCGGTGGTGCTACCGTGGATAGAGGAATTGTGTGCCCGTTCCAGGATTACATTTGGACACTTCGTGAGCAAATTCAGAAGTTTTTGGTCACACTTGGAAACCACCCGAACACTGTTGCGTGGCCCTACCCTTGGACCAGTGACAATGGGCTTTTTTTCTTTTGGTTTGGAATCAATGATATTTGGAGGAGTCATGGTGAGTGGATTCCCGATTGCGGGGTTTTCAATCCAATTGGAACGGGATTTCAGGTTGACAATGGAGCTGGAGAAGATTGGCTCAATGTGTCGCAGAGTAATTTGCACGACAAGGTAAGCCTCTGAGCCTTCATGCGTCATACTGGAATTCACATCATTGACCTCTAATTCTTAGACCCTCACTTCCTACTTTGCCGGAATTGAGGAAGTGTGTGCAAAATCCCATTGACAATACCATTTCGACGTTATGCTTCCTGCTCTATTGATTAGTTTTCTCCCTCTCCCTAAGATCGTTACTAATTCTAGACCTACCTCACCAGCTGTACAAAGTAGGTGCTCGGAATATCGTTATCCTCAATGTCCCACCAATGGAGCTCTCCCCGGATATGAGAGAACGCACAACTGCCCAACAAAACTCGGTCAGAAATGCCGTTTTCATGTGGAATAGTAAGCTGATAGACAAGGTACTTGAATGTCGTACCCGCTGGAAGCCGGTAGGATCATGAGCTCCCGAACTTCTCATCCTAAAGGTAACCTATATGGAAGGCAACCTTTTTCTATATTGACACACGTGCCATATTCCATTCAGTTGAAGTGAATGCACCTTCTCATGGCTTCCTCAACAAGGTGTCGGTGTGCCCACACTATACACCATTTGAGTACGCACATTTGGGGTATAATAATGTAACTGAGAATAACATTTGGGAGAGCAAATATGACTCGCGGTGTTCTGGTCCGGTAAGAGATACATGTGGTTGGATGCATGGCATCCAACTAGCAAGAATCACGAGATCATAGCAGGGAAGGTCGCTCGAGCTCTAGCTGAATATCCATAGCTATAGGAAGGCACGTCGGCTGGTATCAATCTATGGGTTGTGGAAACCTACGTGTAATGAGAATTGTGCTACCTACATGTTTTAACTGCTGCTGATCCCCGAAATAAGTACTCATTTCTATGCATGCATGTGCAAACCAGAGTATGTATGCATGCACCTCATTTTGTCCAAATTTAGGTGGGCAGTCGATTCTCTCCATCGTGTGCGCCAGGGTCATGGCAGCCACGATCTAGTTGACCTGCTCTGTAATTCACTATTAGTTTTGAAAGACCAAGGAGTATCAATATCATCCAGCATTCGGGAGCCAAGTTACCTGTATCTGAACGTGCTAACACGGCGTCGATCTATTTAGCTGTTAGGACTATAAACGTTGTCCCAAAAATACCCTTATAATACGATGGCCTTGTCTCGGAGTAAATTACCGTCCGAACATCAGCGTCATAAGAGCCGGCATATTAAGTTCAAAAGAAGTTGGAAAAAAAACTCACCTGTCTTATGTGCCAACCAGACTGTCTTATGCACCTGTACCTACATGAGAGTTCAAAGCTTAGTCCCGAAGCTTAGTCCCAACAAGGATACTTGCTCCGGCAACACTTAGCCTGACAAGGAAGGAATACAAGAGTCTCGTAATATAGAGGTACAGATTAATTCGAGTCTTGCGTCGGTGATGTGTATATATTTGGCCTAAGAATAGCTAAGAGCAGTGAGGTAATTCGGATCCTTCCACTTGTCCTGCGCCAAGGCTGTGGTGTTTATGCTGACTCACCTTAATGCTGGAAGTCTATGACTAAGCTGGCCAAGCCTCCATCCATGTACCCTAATACCGCATCCACTGGCGAACAAGACTCCTTGTCAGTCAGTTTAGAGACATAGGTCGAGCTTATGCAGTAAGTGATATCGGAATCAGTTTGCGCGGTATCATCCACCTATCTTTTGCGCTCGGATACCCAGTGCACTTTTTCCCCCAAAAATGGGCCGTTGTAGCGTGCTCCGTATCACTTACTGCAAAAGCTCGACATATGTCTCTAAACTGACAAGGAGTCTTATTCGCCAGTGGATGCGGTATACAGTATATGCAGCTCAGTAGCCGCCAAGTCAAGCCAGACTACCGCCAAGTAGGATGTGTTGCCGGAGGTGGGATGGTAATCAACTCTGGGTTATACTCTATAATTATCACCCGGATAAATATTTGGATGCGAACTTAAATTACTCAAAGTGTTCAGGATGGATTGACATCCAAGGGCATTGTTACTGCGACGAAAGGGGTGAGAAGGCCTCTACCAAGGTCAAAGCAGATGGAAACTTTACTCAACAGAGGGCAATAACATATTCGGAGGTGACCTGTCGGGATGGCTGGCCGAAAGTGCGTTCCAATGGGCAATGGTCTGGTTGAACATATGGATGGTATCTGTTCATGGTAAGCTTCATGGTTTTTGCAATGTTCATATCGAAGAAAAATCTAACTTCTGTTACTAGGCTATTTAATTTCCTAGGCATACCATTGCGGTGAGCGGACTGGCCTCTTAGGCTTTCTCTTGGACTTTTTCTAATGCTTCTCTGAAAAATCTTCTATTTCCTGCTGAATATTCAACGTTCACACAGTGTACGTTGTAGAAATTGAGACGACCTCAGCGGAAATATGAAAGGTACGCATAAGGGATCAATGTGCTATGCGGAGGGCAATTCCAATATGAAGCTGGGCAAGGCCACTCTCGCGACCAGGGCCCCCCTCAGATCAACAACTACAACGGTATAGGTCCACGAGATTTCTTGAGCGGTTCGCGATGATACAACATAACATGACGTGAAGGACTTGGTCATGTATCTGTTGAGAATGCATATTTAGTCACAATCCCGTAGCTCATATGAATGTGCCATTCTGGTGCCTTAGATGATCTGACCCCAAATCTCTATCTTTGTAAGACTTCCACGGTATTGCTATCTGCCTTTGCAACTAATTGGGTTGTAGCTAGAGATCTGGTCCTCCGACCGCAAACTAATGCTAGATTATTCTTTTGGCTGGAGCCGGACGGTGGCTCCTAGTTGTCTACTTGTCATTCCCCTCGTATAGTAGCTTACCAGATTTCAGAACTACTTTACTATATAGATCCAAGGGAATTCAAGAGCTGGTAGTGATCTAGGACGTATATCCTGGTAGGCCTCTAAATAAGTATGTGAGCAACTCTTAAACATTCTAAGATAATACTTGATTGCATCATATATTTTGCAACAACAATTCACTTAACATATCCCTTTGTGGTGTAGTTGGTATCACACTCGGCTGTAATGGAACGTTTCAGATAACCGATTGGTCACCGGTTCGACTCCGGTCGAAGGGACATTCTTTTGAGAACTCTTCTTTTCAACTTACCCTGAACTCCCATATGCTCCTCCTATTCTGCCTTTTGTAAAGTTATACATTTCCTGGGTTCGAGACTAACATTTCCTTGCACCTCTAAAGTCACCTCTTAAATCACCACTTCTGGGGAGGACTTCTCCACCACAATCCCTCAATTCTCCGGCCACTCGAGTAACGCGTTCAAGAGAAATATTCTCAGAGCTGGTATGGAAATCACTGGGTAAGAATCACTGGGTAAGGATCACTGGGTAAGGATCACTGGGTGGAGGTGATGGGCTGGGATATGATGTTGAGCTCAAATCCAGTGAGCACAATTTTTTTCAATGGCAGAGGGGTGGATGGACGGACAGGTTACTTTAGGGAGGATGAGAGTAGGCAAGGAAGAAGTGGGATTGAGGGTAACCAGAGTAAGGGTAAGAAGTGGTTGGCGCACAGTTGGTTAGGTAGGTTAGAGCGGTTATTTATATCACATTAAAGGTTGCGGTTGATTCTCTACATCTCTTGATTCCTTTTCAGGTAACCAGACTAACTTCTTGCATCATTTTACTAGTTGATTTCAAATTCACATCCGAATAGTTTTCGGAGTATGAAGCCAATATCCGTTCTATTGTTAGGCTAACACACAATATAACACATTTCTCTTGAAATAAGACCATCCAAACGCCAAGCTAATTCCCAAAGATCCAAATACATATGCCCAAGTCACCCCAGTGCCCATATATCTGACCGCCTAAGCACAGTCCGGTGGAGCAGCCATACCCGCTGGCTTGATTGCCTTGATAGTGTTGCACCATCGAGCCTTCCTCCCTTCGTCCATGGTGACATAGAAACACGGAGCCCCCATAGTGGCAACAAATCCTTGATATCCGTTGTTCAGCTGGTTCTTGTCGCAAGTTGCAGCTGGATACGAGGTCAAGTACCAAGGACCTCCCTTGAATGTATAGGCGTCTCCGAGAGCCAATGCTCTAATCGCGTTCTTCGCGCTATCGGAAAACATCGAATCCGCATTGTCATAATTGACCACGACGAGTTGACCGCCAGGAGAGTTCTGAGCAACAAAACCCTGCAACTCGGGGAAGGATTTGGCAAAGTTGTAGAGATGAGGGAACATCAACATACACTTGGTGCCTTGTCCTGGTCGTCCAGGGAACTGGTTTGTGTTCCACTTGAAGCCACCGGATTCGAAAGCCATATAAGATATCATGCCGGCCTTCTGCCCAAGACTATCAAGTTTGTAGGTGGCGAAGGCGTCATTGAGAGCCTTTGCAGCAACATCGGCACTGCTGCATTCACCACCACTGCCACTACAGGAGCCAGTTTCGGGTGCTGCAGCAAGGATTTGGGCGGCAGTGATGTCCCCGATCTTCATGGATGCGTCGAAGGGGCCATTGTTGACGGGTGGATTGGGTTTACCAATGCAAGCAGCGGAGGTAAGGCCGACGAGCATGGTGCTCAGTAGAAGGGAGATAGTGGTTGTGAATTGCATTTTCGGGAGATTATATGAAATTCTTCTGGATAGCTTGGGCGATTAAGCAAAATGTAAAATATTACCTGGCTCTGGATAGTATAGTGGGATGGTACGAATGTATACAGGAATTAGGACTCGGCCTAATTAATACTTGGGTATATTGTAATGAATGAAAGAAGTCGTAATGAATGAAAGAAGGAGTGTCAGATTGTAACGTTGTCAAAACGTGAGGGGACTAAGCATATGGAGAATGCAGTGGATGAGAAAGAACGAGGGCAGAGGTGGTTTATAACACCAATGGCCATATATCGAAAATGGCGATATCGTGAAATTATTCCTATGCTAGCGTTGACCCCCAGCTGCCCGTCATTTTTCGTGCCGTGTTAACCGCGCCAACTGGTCTGCAGTACTGCACTTAAACAAGAAGAAATAAAGGCATTGTATGCATGTTGGTAATACATTTGGGGGGGGTGCATTGTGTTTGAGATGTTCAGTGGTGCTAGATAATGCCTGCCTGCTTGTCCCAACGAAATGGAAATGGAAGAATTGAACCAGGCGACTGGCTGAGATCTCATTAGTGACACAACATGGTGCAGGGCTATTTGTTCCTGCGTTGAGGGGCTCGACCCGAGATTAGATTTCCGAGATCTAGGGGCAACATGACGTGGAGCCAAGGAGCTGAGCTTGCAATTGGCTAACCCTGGGTAACCGGCGCCCACATCAATTACACTCAAACCTCTATACCGGACTGCATAAATCTGCCGCCGGATATAGCTTACCAGACTAATATCCGGTATAGCAAATAGCGTGGGGGCCGTTCTAGGCGGGGTAAAAGGTTAGAACTTGAGTGCTTCCAAAGATTGTTTACCTATATCTACTCAAACGTTGACTGCTTATACGGAATTCTAACAATATATATCGGATTTTTCAGTGCTATCAAGCAATAGGAAGATCTAGAGCGGCATAGGATTTGTGTGAAAAGACAAGATCCGCATTATGCAGACATGACTTATGAAAGATGGCAGGCCTATGGCACGGTCTACTATAAGAAGGATAAGGATCGATGGCTAGCTGTAAATACTAGTAGTGGTACGGTTTGGAAAAGAAAGATAAAGCTAGAACAGTATCCAATATTGGAAAAAATAATTGCGTGAGTGGGTTGATAGTGCAAAATGAAGCAACGGTCAATAATACAGATGCAATTTTGGCATCTGCAGCTGGCCGGCTTGCAAGTGCCTTGTATACTCGTTACCCCCATGAATTGTTGCACGCTGCATGAATTGGATTCCTAAATCCCACAGGCCACATGAACTCCATACCTCAATTCAGCCAGGTGTGCAGTTCACATGCAGCATGCAACAATTCATGAGGGTAATGAGTGTGGAGGAAGGACATCCAGAAGACTATAGCAATTTTGTTTTTCAACTGGTTGGCTCTCAGCGTTTAAAGCTCGAGGCGGAATAGGACGACAAATGTTACGAGGAGATGGTGGTGAATATAATCAAGCATTGATTCCACAACGTCAAGCCATTTTACAAGATAAAACTGCAGATTGCGCTGTTGGGCCTTACCTACTACTGTTACTGTACCATTCCATTATAGCAAATACATTTACCCTGTTCAATCCTTGTAACAGTCCCTGTAACCCCTTCCCAGCCCCATTCGGTACGGTATCCGTTATAGCAAGTAGATGCCTTATCTAAATTGCTAGAATTGGCAAATTTTGGCTTGAGCCGTCGGGTATACCAAGGGATCCGCTATAGCGAGGTCCGGTATAGCAAGGTTTGAGTGTAAGTAAAGATACAGTACAGTACTTCCGAGGTGTGGTAGCAAGCCAGACTAAGTGTAGTAATAAGTAGGGGCATGAGACTTAGTCTGGTTGGCACCATGAGACGCAAAGGGTTAACGTTGCTGACCAACTGTAGCAATCAGCCCGAGGCAACCAGTGGCATGTCTCTCACATCCGAGCTACCTGCGTTTATTTCTTCAAAATTCCAAATAATATAAGTTATATAAGCACCAACTACTAGGAGCGATACCAAATTACCAGATGGCTTGTAGTATCTCATTTTCCGACGATATATTGGCCAGGCTCTTTGGGTGATAAAAGTAAGTACCTCACTTCCCCATTCCTCAGTTGCTGTATATGCCTACCAACCCACATACCATATATGCAGCGGCAGCAGTGACCTTTGGCCTTTTAGGGGCATGTAACGGCTATAATATTTTGTATTTAGTATATATCTCTGTTATCTATATCTATTATCTATATACATGATACACAACATGGAAATCTACAATTATTACATATATAACGTGTACGAGAAGTACAACATATTGCTTTACATGACCGTAAAGCCTTGTTCTTGATAAGACCATGCATGTGGTCAGGACTTGAATCCACTGGTATAGAACTCCATAATGCCTTGGATACCTCGAGTCTAAACTGCTTGTGCGATATAGAAGAATTATACATACAATACAGAATATAGCTGTTCACAAGTGTAGTATCCAATAGCCAGTAAAAAAGTAGCAGCTATGAATGACGACTTGGTAGCTGTGTATAATGATCGCAATCTATAAGCAATGTTCACCTCCCCCCTTGCAACTGTTGAAATCATTAATCATAAGAGGAATTGTAAGCAGCTTGTGCACATCAGTACCAAATACCTAACAAACAGCAGGAATACATATTTTAGGTCTTTTCTGATTTATAACTACACCATCATTAAGGTCATGAATTAAGTCGTTAGGAAAACACCAGCATTATCCTGCCACCGTACACACAAGACATTATCTCTAGGAACTGAAGCTAAGTCACCCCACTCAAAGTTATTACTCTTATCATCATATGCTTGTAGTTAAATTGGAAGCTGAGCTTTGTGTGCAGTACCACAAGCATCAATACCCAACTCTCGAAGAGTTGCAAAGAATGCGGTATTGCTAAAGAAGCTGTCAAAATATGTGCTATATTGGTACTTGTGGTATGGCAATAGCTTTACCAGCCGTAAGCATATTAAGGATGTTGGAGTAAGATCCCGAGATATTGGCGGAGGCATTGGCGGAGGCAGCGGAGGCAGCACTGGCAGTGGAGACATTCCAATAGTGCCTGAAGATCCATCAACTCTAGAGTAGAATTCAAAGCCATATGTATAGCCATGATCATATATAGCATGTATCTTATACTCCTCGTTAATTGGTAAATTCGGCATCTTTAATGAGTGCTTTGAGTGTCCTGTTAACCGTACCATCATCTCATCAATTGAGCAACTGCTTGATAGCATACATACTGATCTGAAGCAATTTGCTAGCATAGATACTACCGGTTCAATCTTCTAATACAATACTAGCGGTGCTGGTGCTGGTGCTGTTACTGGCAGTGATATGTGGATATATCGCTGACTTTGCTCAAAACGGTTCAATCCCATTGCATCCATAGGCTTCTGCCATGTGTCACCCAATAGTCCGCAACACTTGGGCAACATTGAATCAACAATGCTCATATAGATCAT